GGGGGGAGCGTCAAGGCTGCCCAGGAAGACCAGCAGAATAATAATTTTTAAAAAAGAGATAGACTTAATACGATAAATAGAGAAATGTGTAAAGAAATGTAAAGAAAGAAGAGGAATGGATGAGTTTTTAAGAGTCTGGGGCTGCAAAACAGGGGTTATTAATCTGTGTGTGTGTGTGTGTGTGTGCGCGTGCGCGCGCGTGCGCGCGTGTATGCAGCCTTCATTCCTGCTCACTTCACACTGGATGCACAACTCCCCCCCATCCCACCTCCCAATCCATTTGGGGTGGATTTCTTTATTTGCAATAAATCCTGGGTTTTCCCCTCCCCTTTTCTTTAAAGGAAGGAAAATGTCAGCTCTCCCCCCCTCCCGCCCCTCCCTCACCAAAAGGAGACCAGAGAAAAGCAACCAGATCAAAAGGAAGGGAGATATGATCGTGTTTGGAAGAGCAGGAGGGGAGGGAGGAGCCTCGCCCCTCGTCAGGCGCTGCGAGCAAGCCGAGCAGAGGGATGGAAACCACTGCCCTCTAAAGGCCATATCAGGAACGACACTTCAGAGAAATAAAAAAGTTTTTTTTAACGGCGTCCTTTTTAAATCGGAACTTTTTGAACAGGCAGCGGGACACGGGACAAATTTTGAAAAATCGTGTCTGTCCCGCCAAAAGCAGGATGTCTGGTCACCTTATTCATAACCCACCTTACTAGATAGCTATTATCATGTCTAAAAGCAAGATACTCTTCTCCACCTTGTCTGGAGTGCCATTTAATCCAGAGCCTGACTTCTGGAATTAATAATGTAAAAATGCAAATACAAGGAGTTCAAGGAGCAAATAAAAGACCTTCATATTGGACCAAATCTTACTTCTGGGACAGAAACCAGCTCTCAGCTCCCTTGTGGCTTTTTGAAAAGCATCACCACACATGTTCTAACACCTGAGGAGGCAGGGGAGGGCTGCAGGTATCCTGGTTGATCCCAAGGGGGTCTGGGAGTGGGTGTGAATTTCCCCAGACAAACCATCCCACAGCCCTCTCTATCCCTTCTGTGAAATTGCATTCTCCCACTCACTGGTGGTCAGCAAATTCAAAAGAACCCCCATCTGAGAATTACTGCTGTAGATTGGTTGATTCAGGGAATTTCTTTAGTGTTAACTAGTAGTGTTAGCTACCATATTTTTCAGACTATAAGATGCACCAGTGTATAAGACGCACCAAGATTTTGAAGAAGTAAGAAAAAATTTTTTTGTCCTCCCTGGCCCCCAGGAGCACTCTGCAGGCTTCAGCAAGGCTGGGGAAAGGCAAAAATGCCCCTGTTTTTCACCATAATGGAGGCATTTTCCCTTCCCCCAGCCTTGCTGAAGCCTGCAGAGTGCTTCTGTGGGGTTTCTGTGGGGTGAGGGAAGGCAAAAACACCCCTGTTTGACGAAAACTGGCCTGTTTTTCACACATTTTTTCACAAAAATGGGATGCGGGAGCAGGGCTTCGGGAGGCAAAAATGGCTGTACTTGGTGTATAAGCTGCACCAACATTTCCATGCTCTTTTAGGGGGGGGGGGGAAGGTGTGTCTTATACTCTGTAAGAGTTGTTGTTGTGGAGGGTTTTTTCAGAGAAAAGACGTTAATCACATATGAGTTGTTTTTTCTAAACTAAAGCCTCATTATTCAGGCTAAATTGCCATATTGGCACTCCGAGATAAATGCGTGGGTTTTGGGTTGCGGTTTTGGCACTCAGTCTCAAAAAGGTTCGCCATCACTGACCTAGAGCAAAATTTTCATGCAGTATTAAAAAGAATCGAAAATGAGGCTGCTGTGTATTGCTTAATGGACTGCTAAATTGGCAAAATGGATTGGCTAAATTGGTAAATTGGCCATGCCCACCCAGTCACATGACCTCCAAGGGTCACATGACTGCCAAGCCATGCCCACAAAATAAGCCACGCCCACAGAACAGGTAGTAAAAATTTTTGAAACCCACCACTAGCTCAGATGTGTTCCCAGCCCATCGCCTAAATGATGCTAGGCTCAAACTACGAGGAGAAAAATTGCCCAACTTCAAACTGTATTCATGACTTCTAGAAAATTTGAGGAACTGTGGACATTCATAGACAAAAACCTAAGGTGAGTTTTTCAGACTATGGATGGCTGGACTTGCAGAAAACATATGACCAGGTTAGAATCAAGGAAGGATATGAGTGGAAGGTGGCATTCAATTTCTCCCTTGGGTGTTTCCAATTCTGAGCTCTCCCGTTCTGACTAGAGCAGTGGTTCTCAACCTGTTGGTCGGCACCCCTTTGGGGGTCGAACGACCCTTTCACAGGGGTTGCCTAAGACCATCGGAAAATACATATTTTCAAAAAAATATGGAAAACATAAAATAATTTTATGGTTGGGGGTCACCACAACATTTGGAACTGTATTAAAGGGTCGTGGCATTAGGAAGGTTGAGACCCACTGGACTAGAGGGTATGCCTGTTGTATTTATGCAGCTGATAAACAAAGTACTGCATGAACTTCTGTATAAAAAAGTTCTGTTCATTTTGGCAGTTTCATTGAGGACAGTTCCTTCAAACACTTGATAGACCTCTATAATATGAGGTAGTTTGTAGTTTGTAGTTTGTAGACCTCTACAATATGAGGTAGTTGAAGTAAGGCTTGGATTTTGTTAATTTCTACTATAAATTTCAGTTCCACTAAGTAGCTAATGTGGAATCAATTCAATTCAATTTAATTTATTCATTGATGTGATCTGACTTCAACTATTTTTGGATGGCTTACTGAATAAAGAACACAATAAAATATACCTCATTAAAGATAAAATTACAAAATAACTATAAATAACCATAACACAATTGAAAAATAATTACAGAATAATTGCAATCAAGATTTCAAACCAAAGATATAAATACATCACAAGCAAAATAAAGTTAGTTTTATTATACAGAAAACTACAGAATATTAAGGAAATCCATCTGTCTTGGACCCAAAGTTTTTCTTTTCTAAAGATAGGCAGCTGACCTTCTCTTTCATTTTTGAGATGGCAATGAAACACTCAGATTGTTTTTATCACTAATTAGTAACAAATTGATGTGGTCTCTGTGACCTGATGCTCTCCTCAAATTAAAGATGATGCAAGGAGTTAAATTAAGGTTAATTATTTGAGTTGCTACACATTCTTTTTCAGCTGGTGTTATCATTTACGTTCACTCCTTTTTTGTGTGTTCATCCATGTTTTGGAAAGGTGGCTTGATTGGTTTAAATGCTGGGAAGGAGATAAGCAAACCTGCATTTGAGAACCAAGAGCTGCAGTGGCACAGGACTGAGCTCTCGTCGTTGTCACTCTAGCTCCTGCTGGGTGTCACCAGGGCTACAGTGATGTCACTAGTTAATCCTTTCAGTCTGAAAGTGCTTTGATGCTTCTGATTTAAGTGGAAATCCAATTGTTACACCATCTGACTATCCATACATTTAGACAATTTACATTCTATGCACTTAAACTATTTCTGACATTCCAAATAGTCAGATACTCCTAAACTTCTTTTGTAAAACAATTCAATTTTTGAATAATGTATTTCCACAGATATTAGTGAAATCAAATTCTTCACATATACATATTTCTGTTCTTATTAGTAGATATAATTAACTAGAAGATAGTGAACACAGGCAATTACATGAGTAATTTATTTTACTGATGTTAAACACACTTTATGGAAAACAAATTATTACTCAGACCTATATCGTCACCAAATTAGAAAGACTCAAGTATGATGTCATGATAATTATATTTATAAGACGCATGAACTTGTATTTTTACAAATATATTAGTGGCAAGCCAAGCACAAAATGCCAGCATTTCCCTTTGTTTTCCTAGTTCACAAAGGACATGAAATGTAAATGAATAGTTGAAACTGGATATCAGGAGGCTTAACATATCTAAGGAGATTGAACATTTATAATGCTAAAATCTAAATACTTTGGATAGAAACTTCTACATTTCCTCTCTTTCGCTCCTACTACATTTCCTCAAGTACAAAAATACAACTACAATTTTAGCAGCACCTTCCACAGTGTACATTTTCAGTTTGGTTATTTATCTTAAATCCCATTTTAGTATTGAGTAACCATAGTAAATCAATTTTAGATCCTAAAAAAACATTATCTATACAAAATATGGCACAAAGATCCCATCCATTAGCAACTTTGTAATAACTCCCATTTCATTGTCAAAAATATAATAAGCAACTATGTTTTCCCCTGCAGGCTGGATTAAATTGGAATAATCCATGCATAAATTTCTCAGACAGAAACCAGGATTAACTCAACATTGGATAAATTAAGCATCTTTTGAATTCCAAATACATTTACAAAGGAAAGATCACAATAAATAAAAAAGCCTTTTCAAAACTTTCTAGAGTGTCATATATGGTGAAAAACAATTGTTCTTCTGAAATGTTGTATTTATCATTTTCAATAGAGCTGGAGATAGCATCCATTTATGGGTTAACCCTGTCCGTTCTCCGATTGGACAGAGTTTGATTAATAATTAATTAGCCACCTATATAACCCATCTCTGTGAGTGACTGCACCCAGCTTTTCGACTCGTGTTATCCAGTACTGATAGAATCCTTTAGTGAACTTGTTTAAAAGTGAGTAATCACGGGACAAAGAGTGAGCTGGAGATCAGTGACCAGGAGAGCCTTAGATTATTGGAGAGAGGCTCATTGAGGTTTCTACCAGCTTCGAGCTGCAGGTGCAAGGGGGGAGGGAACTGATCACGCGCTGAAAACCCAGCCCCTTCACTGTGCGCTGCGATTCCCGGGACAGCACCCACCACCTGCTTTGAACAGCCGATTCCACAGCGTGCCTGCGCGGCTGCAGGGCTCCTTGCCAGCGTTTGCCTGATCTCTCCAGACTAGGGAACAGCTGCACCTTCATAAAACGACACGCCGATGCTACAGGGAGTCAAACAGCCCTCATAAAGTGCTTTCATGCTCTGCGAGGCCCGCAGATGGCGATTCAGGGTTTGAGTGTCTGCACTGGCCTGAGGGAGCCATCAGAAGCCCAGAGAGAGCGCCGGTGGATGTCTGGAGGAGGAGAAATTTGGTGTGAGTGCCATTTGAATAAGGAATTTAGCACGGCCACTATTTTGAATACTAACAGTCCTCTGATGGCAGACAGCACAGCATCAGGCCAACCTGACATGGAAGGAAGCAGTCAGGGAGGTTTGCTGACAGTGCCTGGAGGCCCTGATCTCCTGGCCTTGCCTGTCTCATCCCAAAGTGGCAGTGCAAATAAGCTACATGATAAGGGCTCTAAGGACTCTAAATCCTCCAGCAAGGGCTCCAAGTCTAAGAAGGCTTCCAAATCGGCAGACAAGGAGGCCAACCCCCAGACCAAGGCTGGGCCTCATTCCTATTCCCCCACTACCATCTCAGGCCACAGCCCTCCCTCGCAGTTGGATTCTGGGCCTGGTCCATTTAGTCCAATGCTATCTATTAATATCTCAGGATCTGGGGGCAATCTGTGCTGCCACCCCGTATGGAACCTCACCTACCTAACAGGTATGTGGAAGCCACATTTACGCCCATGGCTGCGGGCCTCTGTTACGAGTACCCAGCCCCAACCATACATCTGGACTACCAGTCCTTCATTGCAGAGGCCATTAAACGGGATTGCGGCTGGGTTGCAGCAACGTGCACAACCACCACCTCCACCAGCTACCCAGGTTCACGCACACAATGACCTTGAGCCCAACCTGGGGGCGGACCAATCACCTAGCACCCAGAGCGCAGTCTTTCTCCAGCCTTGGAAGAGGGGGAGATCAGGGAGGACGGCTTATCTGAGGAAGATTGGGATAGCTCAGACAAGCCAATAGTCTTGGGTTTCTTTCCACCGACCCTGTTCAAGCCTTTGCTAACCAAGGCAATTGCTGCAGCTGATATGGGGGACAGGTGGAGGCTCCCTCAACTCTGGAGCCACCAAATCAGCCAACACAAGAAAGCCGACCAAACCCTCCAGCCAGGCCACCAAGTGGCCATTTGGGTGGTCCAGGCTTCAGTGGCAGCTTCCTTTTTTCTCATTCTAGCTTGAGCTGGTTGCAGCAGCTACAGGGGAGAATCCTGGCCGGGGATTCCAGAGCACACCAGGACCTGAACAACATCATAGCTGCGGTGCAGTTTTTGGCTGATGCCACCCTGAGTGCCACTGGATTTGCATCATGGGCCATGGCGTCCTCCGTGGCCTCCCGTAGACTCCTGTGGCTGCGCCCGTGGCAAACAGCTCTCCGGCACAAGTGGCGTCTGATCTCGGAGCCATAGAAAAGGGGAGACCCATTCGGGGATTCCTTCACCCCTCTCCTAGTAGAGGGAAAAGATAAGCATAAGGTCTTGCCCACTAATTACAAGAAGGGGCTGTATCGCCTGGGGCCATATCTCAGGCGGCAGGGGGCTAGACAACTAGATTACGGGGGATCCTTTAGGAACCAGGATTATAGCCCATCCACCTTTAGGCAGCAGGGTAACTTTGGGCAACACCAGAGACAGCAACTGTACCGCCAACAGCGGGGCAATCAGTCCAAGTGGCCCTTTCAGGGCAGGGGGAACCGATTCTACCGTAGGCCCTGAGACGCCTGGTGTTTGGTTCCCCATTGGCTGCTGGTTAATTCATTTCACGGAAGTGTGGGAAGCCACCACTTCTGACAGTTGGGTCATCACTACAGTTAAGATGGGTTTGGCCTTGAGTTCCTTTCGTTCCCTCCAGGTTTTTTCATTAGGTCCCCAGTCTCAGGGAATAGGCAACTGCAGTTCTTAATGAGCTCAGCCATACATCATCTTCTAGACATTGAAGCCATCCAACTGGTGCCAGACAACCAGTGTTTTCAGGGTTTCTATTCTGTGTTGTTTGTTATCCCCAAGCCCTTGGGAGGTTGGAGGACTATTTTCGATTTGAAGCTTCTTAATAAATACTTGATATACTGATGTTTTAAAATGCACTCCTTGCAGTCAATATTGGAAGGAGTAAGGCAGGGTGACTACCTCACCTCTATTGACATGACAGAAGCATATTTGCATATACCTATACGTCCGGACCACCGTTGTTTCCTCCATTTTTGCTACAATAACTGCCATTATCAATACAAGGCCTTGCCCTTTAGCCTCTCATCTGCCCCTCGGGCTTTCACTAAGGTGTTCGCCACCCTGACAGCTCATTTGAGGACAGTGCCCATCAGGATTATATCCTATTTAGATGAAATCTTTATATTGTCACGCTCTCGAGATAGGGCCGTGGTGGACCTCAACACCACTGTTCATGCCCTCCAGTCCCATGGGTTTTCCATCAACAGGACCAAGAGTCACCTTGTACCTACCACCCCCATTTTACACCTGGGGGCCTGGATCGACATGGAAGGTGTTCCTTTCTGAGGAGAGACAGGACAGCCTCCAACAGTTAATCTCCCAGGTGGAGAAGGAGAGGAAGGTTTCACTAGCTACCTTGTCTAAGTTGCTGGGGAAGATGGTTTTGGCCATCGCAATTGTCCCTTGGGGCCAGACTACACACCAGGGAATTGCAATGGCTCCTACTGCCCTTCCAGAAGGCACGGAGGAACACTTCCCTGGCTAGAGTTACCTTGCCTAGCAAGATATGTTGCTCCTTACATTGGTGGAAGTCTCCTGCGGGTGTCATTTCAGGGTGGAGGACAGGATCACGATTACAACTGATGTGAGTCACACGGGTTGGGGCACCCACCTTGATGCACATTTGGCTCAGGGCAAGTGGTCAGAGGAGGAGAGTGCCTTGAGTATTAATCTCTGCAAACTTAGGGCCATCCGTCTTGGCCTCCTCCACTTCGTAGACATGGTCAAGGGGACCCATGTGCGGATTCTGACAGATAACATTACAGCCAAGGCCCATGTCAACTGGCAGGGGGGGCACCCGGTCAAGACAGCTGATGGGGGAGGCGGAAGTGCTGGGTCACTGGGCAGAGGTTCACCTCCTATCCCTCATCGCTGAACACATTTCAGGGGTTGACAATGTGAGGGCAGACTGGCTTAGCCACTCTACCCTGGATCAGGTGGAGTGGAGATTACATCCTTCTCTCTTCCAGGCGATTACACGAAGGTTCGGGGTTCCGGTCATGGATCTCTTCACCTCTCCAGCCAATGTCCATCTACCATGGTTCCTCAGAAGGTTCCCCGCAACAGGGGCAGAAGGGACAGATGCCCTCCACTGGCCCTGGACTCAGGGACTGCTATACGTCTTCCTTCCACTTCCACTATTACCCAGGATCATACACAGGGTCATTGCATCCAGGGCGGAGATCATACTAATTGCCCCGCATTGGCCACGTCGGCCATGGTTTGCGGATCTTCAGACATTGTCCGTGGAGAGGCCCTGGAGGATCCCGCCAGACCAAGCATCCCTCAGCCAGGGTTTGCTGGAGCACCTGGACCCCCAGTGGCTCCAGATAACTGCCTGGCACTTGAACGGGAAGGTCTGAGACTGGACAGGTTCTCCGCTAGGGTCATAGATACTATACAGGCATTCAGGCGACACTCCACAGATCGTATTTATAACCCTACTTGGCGGGTGTTTTGTGAATGGTGTTCTAATAGGATAATGCCGGTTTCAGCCTTGGTTCCCCAAGTCCTGGAGTTCCCCCAGGATGGTCTGGAAAAGGGATTATCACCCAATACCCTTAGGCGACAGGTAGCGGCCTTGTCTACTATGTTGTCCTGGAGAGGGGGCCAATCGTTATCTCAACACCCGGCGGTTAGGAGATTTTTGAAAGAGGCTTCTAATTTAAGGCCACGTATAGTACACAGATATCCCACATGGGACTTGTCTAAGGTCCTCACCTCCTTCATGAAAACCCTGTTTGAGCCCATAGATACTATTCCTCTACAATTTCTTTCCCTGAAAGTTGCATTCTTAGTTGCCATCACATCTGCATGGAGGATATCAGAACTCCAGGCACTATCCATTGGGGAGGGTCTGTGCACCTTTTATGAAGATAGGGTGGTCCTCAGGCTTGACCCTCCTTCTGCCTCAAGGTCAATTCGTGGTTCCATCGGGCACAAGAAATTGTATTACCTGATTTTTGTCCCTCACCTTCAAGACCCTTAGAGGAGCAGTGGCACATGCTAGATGTCTGGTGGGCCCTTCAAACCTATCTCCAGAGGACATCAGAGAACTATTGCCTTGACTCAATTTCTAGACCACTCTACTTGGATAAGAATCTGCTGCACTCACCCGCTCTCTGTGGTTTCCCTAGCTGCACTCTCTCATCAGTAGTGGGATTCAAAATATTTTACTAGTGGTTCTGTGGGCGTGGCTTGGTGGCCATGGCTTGGTGGGTGTGGCAGGGGAAGGATATGGAAAAATCTCCATTTTCTCCCCACTCCAGGGGAAGGCTACTGCAGAATCTCCATTTCCTCCCAATCAGCTGGGACTTGGGAGGCAGAGAATAGATGGGGTTGGGACCAGTCAGAGGTGGTATTTACTGGTTCACCGAACTACTCAAAATTTCCGCTATTCGTTCTCCAGAACTGGTCAGAACCTGCTGAATATCACCTCTGTCTCTCATATGATTCAAAATTGCTATACATTTCTGGGGGAATTAAAGAGGGTGGTTTTTTTTTTGCTAATTTTGCTAAAGAGAACTATGAGACTTATACTTGGAAAAGAATCTTTTGATATTTGGCAACTGTCAAAAAGCCAACACAACTAAATGACTGTGACTTTTTTTTTCAAAAGATCTATTCATAAAAGAATGTCTTGCAAACTTTTATGTACTGATAAGAAAATTTCTGAAAGCATGTACTCATTTCCAGTACAGTTGATTATGGCTTTAGCAGAAATGTGAAGGAATAATTAATTCAGATATATTTTTTTTAAAAATTATATTCAGTTGCTATTTACAAAAGCACAGATGCTTTAGATATTATACAATGGTATTCATTAAAGGTGTAGATGTAACTGAAAAGCAACTGAAAAAATGGCTTAATTTCAGTGAAAAGTACCATAATGGCTTTTGACATATTCTAAGATTGAAGAAAAGCATTGAAAAGAACTATGTTAGAAGAAACTCTTTTGACTATAGCAGGTACACCATTCATATATTCTGAAATTTTTAATGTAAATAGATTATTTAAGAAAAATCACAAAATATGCTACCAATTAGCTTCAGTGTGACATACTTTGCATCAAGAACACTTATATAGAAAAAATGAAAAATGAAGGAAGTTATGAATGTAACTTGAATATTGAATGTAAATATAACAATTTACGATGGTTGAATCATTGATTGTTCTGTTCTTTTCTAGGAAGTATGGACAATGAGTACAGCAAATTTCTATATCACACTGTGATTACTTGGCTAAATTAGAAAAATATCTTGAAATATCATTTTGCTCTTGTAGAAGAGATTTATAAATGAAAAATAAGAAAATTCTCTTGCTGCTGATTATGCTTTTATCTGCAGTCTTCTTTTTCTAAACGATATACGTGATACTTTGAATGCATTAAATGTAAAACTTCAGGTGAAAAATGGATGACAACAGAAATGTCTAATACTGTAAAGCAGTGGTGAGATTCCAAATATTTTCCTACCAGTTCTATGAGAGTGCACTTTGCATGCGCACTCGTGCTTTGTGTGCATGCGCAGCAGGCAAAGACCACCCTCGGTGTGAGCGCTGGTGAACTGAGCTATTTTTTTAGCTCAGCTGAGGCGTGGCAGTCCACTCTGCTAGGCAAATCATTTGAGCTAAAAAACAAGGGAATACAGGACAGGGAATGATGGAAACAAGAGAGTGGGGCCAACCACAGACTTCTGCAATTCTATTGTATTGTTATAAGGAATAATAATATAACCCTCAAAACTAGTCAAAGTGCATTTCTGTTCCTTCTGTTCTGTTCCTTTTACTATTAAAGAAAATGAAAACAGAATTAAAGTGAGAGGAGACATTGATGAGGCTTACAGGGTACATACTAATTATGCCAGAAGACATGGACTCCTGAGGGAAGTGCATGTAAGATTTGCTAAAAAAATAACAAGAGATGAAGTGTACAAAAAAACCAGAGAAGAGACAATTACTCTACAGGGAAAAGAGTTGATCACGCTCAAACAGATTCCATGAAGAATCCGGGAACAACGTAGGCAGTACCAATTCTTAACAAACCAGTTAAATAAAAACAGAATAATGTACAGATGGTTGGTACCAGAAGGAGTTCTAGTATCTTGGCAAGGAAAAAAGATAGAAGATAGAAAATACAGAGGATGCACAGAAACTCTATGAAGAATTCCGCAAGAGAGAAATAGAAAAAGGAAGCAAGGAAGAACTGGAAAGTGGAGGTCAAGAGGAAGAACAATTATCTCAATAAATTTGAATGGACTGAATGCTGGCATATAGACTATGGAATGAAAGAGAAAAAAAAAGAAATTAT